TTTCTGCAATGATATGTATTTGTATGTATTGCTGCATAGTGTTATTTGTAAAGCACATTCAATAAGCTGCAAAGCAAGCGAATGTCTCAATCGAGCATTTCTAACAGAAATCGTAGCATTCATTTATCATTTAAGCGCTTAGGTGATAGTTGAGTGAAGTTGATTGCCTGTTTAAAATGTGATAACATGTGAACAGCAATGCGGCAGTTATTTCGTTTATTTAATGGGGAGAAGAAACAAACTAATAATTTCATTCTTGAGGCGTATTGTTGAGTTATTGCCAGTGGAGTATTTTGGAATGCTTTTAGGAAGCTCGCCGTCTCTCGCACGTGATTAGTGATTATACTCGTTCAAATTCCATAAACACTTCTCTGAGATTGAACATACTTGAAGAAGAATTGCTTCTTAGTCTGTTCGAGAATTATCGCAATGAATTGGTGAATCACACTGAAACATTGAGCATAATTTTTTTTCATTTCAGCTCTGGAAACGAATGGTGCAAATCAAATATGGAAACTCATTAGGGTTTTGGTGAACTTGTTCGGCTGATAGCTTAACGAAGTGTTAGAGGGGAGTTGAAAGAAATGGCGAAAAGAAAGCGCTTCACACAAGAGATTATCTACATAAAAATTTTTTGAAAAACGAATGTTTGAATCATCACAAATAATCAAGTTTGATGATAATGAGGTCATACTTGCTGGGTCTGGAGGTTATAGCATTCATTGGCATACAACTACTCCGTGTCATTTCAGGCACACAGTCTGCATATATATCCTCAGTGTAAGCGTTGATCAGGTGCAATGTGTGTAACAAAACGTTGTAATGTGAAATTTGATAATGTGAAATGAATGCTTCGAGGGATTGCTTCTGTTGTATTTCGCGATCGTGTTGTGACGGTGCTTTCATGATGATGAAGAAGATACAAATACGGTTGAATTTCTTTTTTAAAATCTCAATATCGCAATGTCGCTGAATTGTGCTGATGTTCTTAATATGTTCCATATAATGTGAATAAACGATTGAAATGCGATACATATTCTGTGCTCCTTGTCCGTCGATAGTGATTTTGTGTTGTTATTGTCATCGCGTGAATGCGAGAAAACGTTTGATAGTCCCATAATATCTCTTTTTAAGGTGTTGTCATCTGGTGAATGTTCTTCTGTATCGTTACTATTATCGTTAATATTGTTATTATTATATGTTATTTTTGTTGTTATTGATGTTGTGACATTATTTATGCTGAAAAAATATTTGGTTGATAATTAATGTTTTGTTTTAAACAGCGGTTGGCATTGTCTTGATCCATAATTTTCAGTTTTTCATTTTTATGAGCCAAACAGTTTTGCCGAGTCTTTCTGAGATAAATGATTCAGGAGAGAGCAATGAACTAGTCGGTGTGCTCGGTCTCTGAATAATGTTATCGTTGAATTCGTTCTGCGATGGCGTATATACAAATTCTGTGTTTTATTCACAAATTCAACTAGGTCCCAAACTTTGCCGCCGTGGCCATTTGGATTGTTGTTGGGATGGATCGGGTCTAGCAACCGAAATCCATGATGTTAAGTGGATCTCGTGCTCTTATGCATTTCATTCGCACCTCTAATTTGTTCTCAGTGAAACCGATTTGATTCTTCAAATGTTCGATGTGTCAGCGGCCGCTATTGGGCGTTGTGAACGATAAAATTGTTACCTTCTTTTTCTTTTTTTTAAATTATTACTAATCATAGCGTTATATGTGAATGTATTTAATCAATCATTGAATGTGAAACGAGAATATGCTTGATTATATGGTTTTATTTGACTTGCTTATGCAGCATCTCTACTGCAAACAATATACAGCAGAATACTTTTACCTATGTTTGCCCTCCCTCACCTGGCTCTTTTTATATGAATGGATGTGTTTAACACGGAGAATCAAAAATGACCATACTATTTTGGCATATCTTACCTATTATGAATCATCAACAGTTGAAAATTAATAAGCTGCCACATTTACCATAGAAATACAAACGGCAAAAGAGTTTACTGTTGGCTTTTGGTTGCTCGAAATTTGTTTTATATATTAGGAATGTTCATAAAATTCATTTGATCCAACAACCCCCCACAATCCGTGGTTGAGCGTGGCACTGATGTCAGAAGAATTCACTCAAGATTCAGTTGGTGCGTTTGAGGCTATCGATGTGCTTCTACAGTTTCCGTAATATTTCGGCCACAATAAACGGCTTCAAAGTGTTCAGATTTTGCATCATTCTTGGTTAGGTTAGGAGGTGTTGAATTGTTTAGAGGATCGTAGTTATTGGCTGCACTTAGATTATCTGTCAGCAATGATGAAATAGTCAATAACATCTAATAAAATAATCGTATAACATTAATGATTACAAGAGCCATTTTCAAGGCAAATGCGTCGTGACATTTGTTTGAGAAGGCTCACTGACTGATGAAACACAACCTTCGGTGTCGACAGTTTGCAGCCATGCGTTGATCGTTATATTCGCAAACTGCCTAGGTGCGAGACATTCGTATTTACTGTGATGCCAGCTACTCGCTGGTTCACTTGGTGTTAAAGCTGCCAACTCGTGATCAGCACTTAAATCTGAATTGCAGTTCAAATCTTTGATTGCAATGCATCATTACACATTCATTGCGCTATCCTGATTAAACTGATTGCATTCTTATTCGACACTTCCTATCATTGCGTGCAACTCAAATGAACACATGCCGTTTTCGGCCGATCTACTACTTCTGATACCAAATGTTTAATGAAGCCAATAAGTATACATTCTTACTTCCAGTGTTCAAGTCTCCAACGTATACTAACTGTCAACAATACTGACGCAGTCATACTAATTAATAGATGATATGATAATAATAATAGTAATAATAATAATAATAACAATAATAATAA